TTATTACTAAATTACTAAATTACTAAATCTAGTTGCAGAAGCATTGGAGAAATCATGAGGGGGTCCCTAACTCTGACCTGTCTGGACACATGCTCCGACCAGGAATTCTGCATGGAAACACTCACTGGATGGAATCTAGAGCTAGAGGGCTTTGGGAGGTAATGATGCAGATGGGGCCTGAGGCCTTGCAAACCAGGGTGTCACTACCTTTGCAGGTGCGTGGTCCAAGGATCTAAACAGGGCCATCAGTTGCTCAGAGTTACATGTTAGGTTGGAGGCAGAGCTAGGGTTGTACCCTGGTTCTTCAAACTCACAGATGGGTTTTTGTGATGTGCTTGTTCAGATTCTTGGACCAAGAGTTCTTCCCCCTGGCTGAACAGGACACTTTCTACCATCCTGCTCAACACCTGGGCCAAAGGCCTGACATGTCTCAGCCTACACCTGGAAGCACACTGAGGCTCCTACACTTGCCTGCACAAGGCTTTTACTATTTGGTCCTCCCTGAAAGCTGCTGTATCAGGCCCCACAGCTCTACTTTTTTTTTTTTCTCTTCATTAAACCTAGGTTTAAGCTACATTCCTAGTACTATGTTTATTTTTTATTTTGAGACAGTGTCTTACTAATTTGCTAAGTTACCCAGGCTGGACTCAAACTTGAGGTCCTCCACGCTCAGAATTCCAGAGTGCTGGGATTATAGCACATCTCCACTCTGTTTTCTGCATATATGAAATGCAAACTACTGTTTTTCAGTCCTCCCCTGACCTGGAAGCCACCAATCTGTGAGTTTGGTACTTCCCCATCTAGATATAGACAGTAGTACCCCGGTCTGGTGCTGCCAGGCTTCCTTTGTATAACCTGGTAGCGGATTTATAGCTGTTAACTCATCCCCCAAAGCCTTTCTGCTGGTTACAGGTTGGAAGCCGCTCTCTGCACCCGAGCCAAGGCTGTAGGTGTTCAGAGAGAACCTAGAGGGATGGATTGTAAAAGAGTTTATATACTGCAACTTGGAGGGTCTTGTTTATGTTTAGGAGCAAAACTAAAATGAAAATTGTGTCAAATCCAAATAGATCCTCTCAGCATCCCAACAGCTCTCAGGCTTTAGGGAATCTGTAGCAGATAAATACTCTTAATTTTTCTCTTACAAAGTTATCTTCTCTGCTCCTTCTGATACTTTCTGTTTACTTGAAACTGGGAAAAAGCATCTTGTGTATGTAATTTCTAACTCTAGGTGGCTTCTGCAGTCAATATTTTTCAATGTCTGCTGGACAAGAGGGACTGGACTTGGGGCTCCCTTGCTCTAGACATGAAGGAAATCCAGTTTGGGTGGGAGAGGAACAACAACTGCTGAGGACTCTGGGAGGTAAACCCGCTTTGGGGAGGAGATGCTGAAGGGGGCAGTAGAGAAGGGGGCTTGTTCATTCTTCTGAGGTGGATTGATTTTACCCCTAATCCACAATCTCCTCTCAATCTCTCCTGAGACTCCTTTCCCTTCTTAGAACCTGATCTCCTTATCTGAACAGTGGCTTCAGGACATATCTGTCCAAAAAAGTGGCCCTTGGGACATATTGGGAAGTTAAAACTAACCATTAAGGGGACCCTTGGGATGGAGACCCATAAGGTCAGCCTCCTAGGATAGGACATGGAACAAAGCAGACATTGGAACAGGTGACTACCAAATTTCCTTGGTGGAAACCATTAGGTCACTCAGACACTTTGTGCAGGATGGATCCCCTAAACATCTATCTTAGTCCATTTGTGCTGCTGTATCAAAATACTTTAGGCTTGGTAACTTATAGACAACAGGAATTCTTTTCTCATTTTACAGGAAGCTGGGAAGTCCAAGATAAAGTCCAAGATCAAGTTTCCAACAGATTCAGTGTTTGGTGAGAATGTGTTTTTCATAGATGGCCTAAGAGTCATCACCTGGTGAAAGAGAATTCTATAAGTGCAAGAATCCTTAGGATCCAGTCACTCCCCCCAATAAAGTCTTAATATCAACACATGGTGAACTAAATTTGACCATATGAATTTTGGAAGGACGCAAACATTAAGCACTAAACAGGCTCTGGAGAATGTGAAGCAGATAAATGTACTTAATTTATCACTACACAAGAAACAGCCATGAGTCTCTCCTTTCAGTCTCTTCTGAATTCATGGGAAAGGTGCAGGAGAGGTACGTCTCCAGGAACCAGAAGCTCTGTCACTTATTTATAATGTGTGGTTCCATGTCCTTGTCACTCGGAGTCTTTCAGCTGAGCCACACATTTACTTAAAGAGTGAGAAAAAGAGAGTAAGCACCACTAAGGAAAGTAGTTTGGACACATAAAGGTAAGAAAATTGGCACTTTTCATCCTAAAACCTACTCAAACTAATGCTATAGACAGTGTATATTTAGTTAAACAGAAAAGCATTGATGGTGTCACCTCACAGCTGTCCCTACTGCCATCACAGGAAGGGAGGCCCAGCCCAGAGGTAAAGGTCACTGGACTGACATCTGTGGCTACACCCCAGGCCTTTTGGGTGGAGAAGGTCCCCCTCCACCTACACTGAGTCTATTGGGGGCAAACCTTGGTTTTCCAGTCCCCTAGCATTTCCCTGGGGAGGTAAAGAGCTACCTTGGAAGACAGGAGACAGTGGTGTCTTCCTGTGCAGACAGCAGGGCCTGAGGCCCATCAGTGTTTGCTGTGGTCACCAGCGATGGGTAAGACCTGCCTTTGCTGTCCTCTGGGAGCAATTACTTTATGTTTATTGCAGACATCCATCACACCCAGGGAGGCTATATAAATACAATATGTCACCTTTAACTGTTTGCTAATTGAGCCGATGCTGTGGGATTTCCTGATGATCAGTTGACATGAGAGAGAGAGAGAGAGAGGAGAGAGAGAGAGAGAGAGAGAGAGAGAGAGAGAGAGAGAGAGAGAGAGAGGAGAGATCCAAGTAGGGACATTGCCTAGGAGGGTTAGTTTTAGTTCCTGTCTCTAAAATCAGGGTAGTCACCTCAATAGGGAAAGTGAATTGGCTATGAAATGAAAAGGGAAAAATAATTTCCACCAAATCAGTAAGAAAGCAAGAGGAAGGAGTTGTTCACTTAATTCTGACAACCGAGAGGCCCTGAGTCCTGGCCCTGTTGTCTCTGCTACCTCCCAAAGGCCGGTTACAATGCTGCCTTCGAGTGGATTATCAGATACAGGTGGTGTCAGTTTGGTGCGATCAAAGGCTTCAACATGGTGAGTGAAACTCCTAGTTTGTGAGAGATCCCAGATTCAATACTTTGTCTCATTCAATCTCTGAGGATTCACCTTCTGCCTGTTGTGACAGGAGAGAAATGGAGAGTGGAGTACAGTAGGACAGACATCTGCACTGGCTCAGGAGAAGTTCCGTCAGTCCCTACACAGGGAGATGTTTTCAGAGAAGAACGAAGAGGCCAGGAGAGGGGAGAAACTGCTGGCTCTTGGCCCTCAGCTGGGATTGCAAGCAAGTGTGAGCCATGGGGACAAGAATACAGGATCCCCTAGAACCTCAAAGGAGCAGGAGCTGGAGCTCAGAGGAAGGAGAAATACTAGGAAGAAGTGCTCAGGAGATGCTCCCAAAGTGGTTTGCTCTGAAAGTTGCTTGGAGGTGGTGATACTTGGTCATTGGCAGGGGAAGGGAAAAAGCATTTTCTGAGGGCTGAAGTTCAGAGGCCAAGCAGTGTCTGCTGGGGAGGGATTTATCCAGGCTGATTCAGCTGCGTTTGTGCAGAGAAGTTCCCGGAGTGGGTAAAGCATGTTGGGGCACTCAGCGACATTATCCTCTGGGCCGTGGGATACCACTGGGGCCAGAGAGCTGGGCAGCTGATAGCCTGTATCACTGATTATCTGGCTCATTTGGGGAATCTGAGGACGGTGACTCCATCAGCGAATGATGAAGGAGACAAGTTCTGGCCACAAGGGCCCGGGCAATGTTTCTGGGAGCCCTTTGCATTCCATTATATTTCCTGTCACAATCACCCTCGTCTCTGCCCTAGAATGAGACTCAAATTCTTTAAGTCCAGCTGCTTTGGACTCAACAAACTTCCCATTGGGAAACAATGCTTTTGATTTTCAGTTTGACCACTAACCTTGAGCTAGGTAATTTATCTTGCTGAGCCTTGGATTTCCCCCTGAACATGGAAATGATAATACCTCCTTTGCAAGTGTTAGGATAAATGCAAGAGTCCTGTGGAATGTAAGGCACACATTAGGTGCTCAACAAATACCAGATCCTTCTTATTTGGTCCTTTCAAACCAGGACTAGTTTTTTTTTTACTTTAATGGGTTCAGCATATCACTCAAAATACTTCACTTAAAAACAATCAAAGCTTACATAATCACCAGCCTAAGTGGTTGCATTAGCCTGTTATTCTGTCATCTTTTTCCAATAAACAAACTGTCTTCCTCTCTCTTTCCTTTCTGTGGACGGATCTGGAGGATTTGCAATGTGCAAAGCAGGTGGATTGATCGGTTATTGATCGCGAGTGAATTATAACCCCTTCAGGTAAAAAGCTTCCCATAAACACAATTTAGTAGCTGCCAACACCAGCTTCAGCAGCCAGAGATGACTGTCTCAGGACTCCTGCATTGAGATAATCAATAGCTCGTATTAGTATTAGTGGCACAGATTGCTGTACCTGGTAGCTCCTCAGGGGTGCAGAGGTGGCCCCTGCACTTCCCTGCTGGGAACAGCACTGTTCTCCTGGGCTCCAGGTGCCACCTGCCCTGGAGCTATGGAGCAGGTGACCCTGGCCTTGTTCCTGGCTGATGTGTGCTACTCATATTCGATCGTTCTCAAATTTTGTCTGTCAAATACAATTTCTGCTCCCCTCTCAGCATTTTTGCATCACTGGGGACAAGGATGGATAGGACAGCATTTTCTGAATGCTGAGTCTATGTTCAAATATTCTTATTTTTCATCCCTCTGGTGGTGTCCAAAATGCTCTAAACCAGACCTTATTTCTCCTGAACATTAAAACAGCTTCCAAACAGCTCCTTGTTTCAAGTCAATCTCTTCTAGTGTTCCCTATCCCCACATCACAACACACACACACACACACACACACACACACACACACACCCCTCTTCATTCTAGAAGTCACTGTCAAATTCATATTCCTAAAGCAGAGTTGTCATCGAGCCCTTCTCTCGCTCTACAAACTTCAAGGGCTTTCTATGCCTACAGGATCAAGTCCAGGCTCCCCAGCTAGGCCTCCAGACCCTTCACAAAACACACACCTTTCTAGCCTCGCCTATCTACTTCATGTCTGGGTCTCATCTCCCTGGAATAGCTCCCATCTCCTGTCCATGAATGTTCCTGTCTTCCAGTTCTGGGGCCTCTAAAGTATAAACTCTGCTTCGTGTTTTTGCAGCTCCAGCTCCTAAAAGCCACCCTTGTTTCTTCTGCCCATTGCCTGGGACACAGTGACATGTGGTTGCTGAATTGAGAGAAATCTGATTGATTTGAGTGTAAGTTTTCTTTCCACACATATCAACAGAGCTAAGAATGTACAATCAGTTCTATCATAAGAAAGTTTATGGCTGGGTAGTTGGTATGGTGGGTGATTTTGGAAAGGTCAGACATGACTTAAGAACAAGTTATCTCATGGCCAAGTGGAAGTCTAGGATGCATTCTAGACTAATTGGCTGGTCTAGGATGCCCACAGACTTCCCTTCTTCCTCTGCCTACATCCTTGGCTCACTGTGTGCCCTGGAGGAACACCTCATCTCCTCCCGGCTCAATACCCATGCCTTCCCTCGTGATATCTTTTCCTTGGGAGTCATAACTTTTCATTGTCCATCTAGGTGGTCAGGGAGACTGCCCTCTGACTAGTCTAGCTACCAGGATGCCAAATTCTCTTGGGTGCAGCAAGGAGTGATGGTTATGTGGTTCAAGCAGGGCCAATATGGGTCTTGGCTGAAGTGTCTGGAAGGGGAAGGTCCCTTTCTATTGCTAAGGCCTGATCCTGGCATCTTTTCTACCAAGGAAGAAGAGCCTTTCAGGTAAGGAATCTAACAGGGGAGGCAGAGAACCAAGGAGCCCTTGGACTCCTTGTTTACTGGGACCACTCTTCATCCTAACTTGCTTTTCTTTCCTTAGTATAACTCATGTGGTGTTGGTTTCAGATGTAACACAAAGTACTAAGATGCCATATTCAAAGAAGCACAGGGTTGTGGGGAGGGGGAGAGAAAGAGAGAGAGAGAGATCACACAAATCCACTCACAGATAAAAGGCTGGACTGGGCTTTCCTTCAGGTCTTCTGATTCCTCAACCAGTGTTACCCATACTAAGCCAATGAAAGGTGTTATCCTCCCAAAGCGTCTCCTGCAAATGGATGACTCTCTTGCCACTAGAATTTCAATCCTATGTGGATAGTAGTGGGAGATCCTGCTGTCCTCTGCCACCTAGCTGTTCGTCTTTCTAGGAAAACAACTTTATTCCTAGGGGTTATGGGAACACTTTGTCCCAGGCCCTTGCAGCTGTGGGATTTCCCATGGGCAGAAAGATGACCAAGAGCCTTTGCTCTGAAAGATAGGCCTTTCTCATTTCTCTGCCAAGGACTATTAATTTCCCCTGAAAACAGCTTTTTTCCACCCAGTTACAACATCCCTGGGACAAGTGTTTTCAATATCTCCCACTGGAGATGGTTTGCATTCAAATGCTGGCCAAATTATTGAGCCCTATTCTTGGATACTTCACTCCCAGCAGTTGGGGGGGGCACTCATTATTAGACCAGCAGGTTCTATGTGGGGGTTTCATTGTCTTTGTCAGCAAATGAGATTCATTAGGGTGCACTGCAGGGTGATGGGAAGAGTGAATTTGGTCTGGATACTGATGCTGGATGCTGTCTCATTTCTACAGCACAGACTTGATCAAAAAAAGGAAAAAGCAGTAGGTCTCTTACATTTGGTTTTGAAGACACCAATCAGCACAGTTCCTCACTGTTCAAGGTGGTGGGCACCTGCCTACTGCAAATCTACTGAAGTCCAGCTGGTAATAAGGGAAAGGTCTCTATGGGCAGGGGTCACTAACCTGGGGTGAGAAAGGACAAGACCCAGCACAGACTCAGGTTCTCAAAAGCACAAATACATCTCAATTTTGAAGAATTTATAAGAAAAAAGTAGTCTCATCAGTGTCTATTTTTACTTCTTGCCCCTCATTCTTAACTCCTCTGTAAGTGCCTAAAGGAACTAGCAGAGATGCCAGGGAAATGCTCTGTGAATTTTGTATCTCTGGCATCCAGGTGGTCTGAGGCATGCTGGTTGGACTCTGGACTGTGGGCTTTTGTTGGGGGGGTGCGGAGGTGAAGAGAATAAAGATGGCTGTCATTGCTGGCTAGAGCATCACTTTGAAAATTGCATGTGCCAGGCATAGCATTGTCGGACTAATTTAAAGATGTGGGTTTGTTATCAGGTTCTCTAGAAGAGAGCCTGAGGAGGGGATTCATATGGGAGTGTTTTTTGAGGAATTACTCTCAAAAGAAACCTGTAGGAGAGTGAGGGAAGCAGGTGAGGACAGGTGTAAAGCAATGCCAGGGTGCAGGCTCTGCTTGCATCTCCACTTGGCCCTATCTCACCTTAGGGAGCTCAGGAGCAGAATGGCACCTGAGTGCTCTTCACCTCATGACAAAGAGCTAGGATTGTGTGTCTTCCAGCCTTCAGTCTTTGGCTGCAAGCACCCTGAAGGTTGGCCCAAAACCTCCCAGGCATCTCTAGGTGGAATCTCTGAAAGGGGTAACCTTGAGTTCTTAGCAGCCCACACTCACAGCTGTGAGGGGAGATGTGCTCTGGTCCAGTGAAGAGGATCCGGGGGAGCCCCAGTGGGATCTACTACAGCGGCCTTTGGAGCCACACTGTGTTTGAATCCTCCACATCCAAACCGAAACTTCCAACTTCTGTTTGCTTCAGTTTCCACATCTGTGAAATGGGACATAGCAATGATGCTGCCCACATAGAGTTCCTATGGAGATAGATGGAGGCAGCATGTGTAGGGTTTAGAGCAATGCCTGGCATGTTGTGAGGACCCTCTGGACAGAGCTGTGAGCACACTCAATGGGCCAAGCCTTCTTGGGAACCATGGGAGGCTCTCTGTCTCCTTTTGGTGTCTCTGCGGTGCCCTGTCTTGGCCTGGAGACACAGCAGCTTGCAGAAGCCTTGACCCTGGGCGGGGACTCTCTCTTTGGACTCAGCAGCCTCCAGGATGAAGGAGGGGATGAGAGCAGGCTCAGCTCTGCAGGGAGAGGAGGGAGGGGAGAACTGGGCTTGCAGGTACTCCCTTCCTGTTCAGCCCGCCCTGGGGCTCTGGCAGAGAGAGGCTCCAGCAACAACTGGATTTTTCATGCTCTTCCAAACGAGACTATAAAAATTCAGTCCATTTGGTTTGCAGACAAAAACTTTGCTTTTAAAAATCTCTGAGTTATTTCCTTCTTTCTTCCTTTTCAGGGCCAAAGTTATTTCAAATGAATAGGGTGCTGGGAGTGGGGGAGGTTGTGCATTTGTCAGCCTTATTTCCCTGCGGGTTTGTAACTGAGGGGGACTTTGGTTAAACCCACATGACATTTGTCACTTTGCTATTGCTTTCTCACCCAGAGGGGCTGTGTCCTCAGCGACACATTTTCCTTTTTATCTATTTGAGAGGGTTATATGAGTACAGGAAGAAGAGGAAAAAAGCTCATATTTACATTTTTATGCATGTCTTCTTTCCCAGGCAGACATCACTCCCTGTCCTCTGTCAGCTCCTCCACCCCTTCAGGGGCAGGAGGGATGGGGAATTCAGCAAAGCAGAGGGGAGGGGCTGGTTCCTCCATCAGCCCTGGGGGAGTGGGCTGGATGTGTGACTCTTCACCAAACCTGTGGTTTCACTCACTTATGGAACCAAACTTGAGCGGTGCCTACTGTTTGCTGGGTCCTGGGACATGTCTGTTCTCATTGTGGTTTAGATCTAAATCGTCACCCCAAAAGTTTCATGTGTTCAGAGGTGAGGCTTTAGGAGGATGACTGGATTGTGGTGGGTGCCACACTCATCAGTGGATTCACCCCACTGATGAGTTCAGAGGTGGATGTGCTGTTAAAGGTGAGGGCTGGTGGGTGGTGGGTCACTGGAAACATAACGTGTATTCATTCATTCATTCATTCATTCATACATACACAGGCTGTATTCTTACTCTGTTTCCTTCTTTCTCTCTCTGCTTCCTGGGTGCCATGAAGTGAGCAATTTTCCTCCACCATGATACTTCTGTCTTGGAGCCAGCTAAAACAGACTGAACTCTCTGAAACTGTGAGGCAAAATAAAGCTCTCCTCCTTCAAGCTGTGGGTGTTGCGTACTTTGTCCCAATGGGAAAGTGACTACTACAGTCTTCAGGGATCCAAGTCGCTCATGGGTAACAATTACAGTGACTGAGGATGGCAGCACATATGTGGTTGTGGGGGAAGCAGTAGAAGCCTACAAATGGAACCAGGCCAGGGGAGAGGCCCATAAGGATGATGATCCCAGAGCTGCGTCCTGAATGGAAATTAGCTAGGTAAAAATGGGAAGAGGGTTACTTTTTAGGGGAACATCGCTGCGGTGTGAGAAGGAGAGAGACACTTAGGAGATCCTCTGGCACCTCTGGGCGTAGTGGATGGAGGTAATGAAAGTGGAAATGAGACAAGAACCAAATGAAGAAAGTCTTGTAAGCCATGCTAAGGATATTGGACTTTGTGTGTGAGTAACAAGAGAAAACTCCTTGATGTGCTGTGGAGATGAAAGGGACAGGGGAGATGGGAGAGAGGGAGCCTATTGAGGCCAGAAGTGATGCTGCTCATTTGAAAGAGAGGCAGAGGAGAGATGATAAAAGGTGACTGTACCTGACTGATCAGGACAAAGGGGAGGGAAAGGCAGGAGATAAAACTTTTAGCTTTCTGGCTTAGACGATGGGGAAAGTGGTAACACCGTACAAATTAGTCGCTCCAGGTGGAGAAACGCTGTGTGCCCACAGTAGACACCAAGCAAATATTTGTTCAATGTATGAACATATATACAAATAAGAGATGATAGCTCTTACCACAGCTAATTTAGAAATTCAATGAAATTCCAATTAAAAAGTCCATTATATGCACATTGAGACGATACTCTTAAGTGAAATAAACAGGACACACATGTGTAAATACCTAACAGTTTCTCTAGTGTGAGAAACTGAAAGTGTAAATAAGGACTAAAAGGTATAATAGATAATGTGAAATAGGAAGAAAAGGGGCAAAGGGGAGGGGGGAGTGGGAGGAGGAGGGGAAAGGAAAGAAAGGAATGGAATTAATATGAGAAAATGAAAAAATGGAAACAAAGTCTTTGTAAATAGGGAGGGATGGAAGGGTTGAAGGGAGGGCAGGGGAAGGGTAAAAAATAAGAACCAAGAGAGATTATGTAAAGGTGCATATCTCCAATGATGAATGTCATTATATTGTACATCTAAAATGTACCAATAAAAGGATATACAAAAAAAGGTCCATTATAAGATTTTATGGAACTTGTCCTAATCACTTCTGTAATTTACTTGAAGAATTAAAGCTCAAGAATAATAATGATAAATTTTCAAATGTAGAGAAAAAGGTGGTACCATTTCTACTAGATATGGAGATAAGCTATAGAATTATAAGAAGGATCTAAAATTTGGTTTTATCCTAAAGGGAACTATATTAGTAGAATAGACATGGTGGCTGTACTCATTCACTTATGAGCTGTATTCATCCCCAAATGGCAGAGTTGAGTCTTTGTGACTGAGAATATCTGGCTTGAAATATTTACTATTGGGCTGTTTGCAAAAGAAGTTTACCTACCCTTGCTGTAGACAGAAACTCAACTGTTTATGGGAATTGGTGTATCAAGGAGATAGTATTACAAATTTATGGACAGGAGACCCTTGCCAATAAATGGTGCTCAGTTTTTCTGTAAGAAGAAAGTTAAAATTAGATTGTTACCTCATTCCATAAATAAATAAACTGTGGGTAGATCAAATATCTAAACGTGAAAAAAACACTTCATACCGTTAAGAAGATATATCAGTTTTATCATCTCAAGGTAGAGAAAATCTTTATAGGCAAGTCACAAAAAACAGTTTAGAAAGGAAAAACCGTTATGGAACACTAGTACTCCAAGTACTGCTACTGCCACAATGACAGCAGCAACAACAGTGACACACACACACACACACACACACACACCTACACATATAAGGTGTGATCCAAAAATACTGTAAATGTTTAAGTTTGAAAAATTTATTATAGTAAAAGACACATTGCCATTAATGCACATACTCCTTCTTTGAACACACTTACCCTGTCATTCTTGCCACTTTCTGAAACAATTCTTGAAGTTCTCTTTGAAGAGAGTCTTTAGTTGCACCATTGTCTCTCCCTCAATGTCCTTAATTGTTTCAAAACCCTTACCATTCATGGTAATTTTGACTTTGGGAAACATCCAGAAGTTGCATACTGCCAGACTCAGTGATTAAGACAGATGAGGACACGCTAATGTTTTTATGCACCTGCCTTTCTGTTGGGTGGCACTCAGCAGCAGCAGCATTCACTGTATTTTTGACAACAGCTTATAAAAACACTCACAAAATAGAACTTGCAGAACTGCTTTAGAAAGTGGGAAGAACAATGGAATAAATGTGTTCAATGTGAGGTTGAGTAGTTTGAAGGAGATTAATAGCAATGTAATAAACTTTTGTTATAATAAACTAGAAAAATGTTAAAACATTTGTCACATTTTTTGACCAACTCTTGTACACAATCAATAAGACAAAAGACCATAAGCCAAATTAATACATAAGGTTAGAGTGGAAAAAGACATTTGCTATACAGATGAGGAAGTGGTACCCATATATGTCATGAAGTCCTACCTTTGAATTTTCTTGGTGGAGGATAATAACCAATAAGAAAGTAGGGAGAAGGTTAAGACCTAGTGTTTCAGAGAAGAGAAATCATCAGTGGATACAAATGAAAAATGCATTGCAATTTACTTATTAAAGGAACACAAAGTAAAAGAAGAATGCTATGCCATTTCATACTCATCCAGTGAGTAACAAAGAAAGTCAAACAGATCATCTTCATTACAGAGAAGCAGGCGAACATCTTCAATGGGCAGGAAGGTAAATGTGCATGATTTTCAGCAGCACCTTAGCAACATCTGGTGACACTGAGATTGTGCAACCTCTATGACTAGAACATTTGTTTATCATTATGTGCCTCAGAAATGTGCACAAGGGTATCCCCTGCAGCATTGTTTGTGAGAGCAAACAATAAGACACCATTTCATAGCCCTGAATATGAGAATGGATGCACAGACTCTGACGTATTCAAGTATTGGCCTACTATGTGGCAGCTATGCCAGGATGAACATGAAAAGTTAATGCTTTAGAAGAAGCAAGTTGAGAAATAAGCTATGAAAGCATTTATGTAAATTAGACCAACAAAGCAATTTGTTGTAGATTTGTGTCTATCATCTTCCTACCTACCCATCCATCTAAAATTAGGACTAGGTCTCTCTTCACCAAAATAAGATTAAGATATTTATGAAGAGCTAAGAGTGGTTGCAGGGTGGGGAGGTACTTTAATGCAATCTTTACAGTTCTCTTTCATTCACAAAAAGTGAGTTAAGCAAAGCTGAGAACATATTTGCATTCGTGAATTATGAGTCGCAGGCATGTGGTTGGTTATTCCATTTTGCAATGTGTCTTGGATTTCCAGCATGAAAAGAAGAGAACCATGAAGTAGAAGAGCCCTTCATGGGTCCTGATCTCAGCATGAAGACTTGGTGTCTACAGTGAGATGGAGAGGCTGTGCATATGGCTGCCTTTCCTGTCTCTCAGATGCACCATCCTAACCTGGCCTAAGAAAGTTTGGAGAAAATATTTCGGGAGACCAGGCTAGCTCCAAGAAACATGAAGGGAGCCAGGAAGGAAACTTCAGGAATGAGGCATCCAGCCCAGCTGGTCAGCCAGGAGAAAGGCCTCCTGTGGGATAGTGCTCACCTGTGTGCCTCTGCCCTGTGTCTTTTCCCGTGGCCCCTCCCCAAACTCCCATATAGAACCTTCAAGTGTAGGCCAGTGTCCTGTCCTCCAGGAAGTCTTCATTGGTCCCCCATCTGGACCACAAGGGCCTTCTGTGCCTATCTATACCTCAGGCACAGCTCTAGCTTTGCCTTCCTCTATTGCTTGGGTATGTCTTTTGTAAGTGCATTAAGCCCACTTAAATTGGGGCTGATGGGAGTTCTGCCTGTCCAAAAGCTTGCACAATGTCCACCTCCCAACTGCCTGGCTTGGGTGATATGAGTAGAAAGGTAGGTGGGGAGTGGGGAGGTTGGGGACTTAGGACAGTGGAAGTTGCAAGAGCCCATGTAACCAGCAAGCAGTCTGGAACAAAGCAGGACTCCTGCCTGTCTTTGGCTTAGAAAACCCAACTGATACCTTGAAAGAAATTTATCAGGTCAGTGAAAAGTCCATCCAGCTCCAGGCTCATCTGCTTAAGGGCTCAATTATTGTTACCTGGACCCAGTTCCCTCTTTCTCCTCCTCTCTTCCTATCTCCCTCCCTCCATCTCTAGATTTCACACAGATACAATCCCCTACAGTTTATTTAAGTCCAGGTGCACAAAACAAGGTCCTCTGTCTCCTGGGTGCTCCAGCAAAGCTCCTGGATAAATTTTGAGTGGCTCTGATTGGAACCTGTGCCTGTCATGATGGTCAGAAGCAATCCTCTGGGTGCTGGGGATGATGCCTCCATCCCAAACCAGGTGTTAAGAGCAAGGGAGGGTGGTCCTCTGGAGGGAAATTTTTGGGTAAATGGGTGCTGTGGGACAAAGCCAGTGGCTGTCTGGTGCAGAAGGAGCTGACATGTGAGGCATGACTGGAAAATACAGTGAGTGTCTAAATTAAAAAATTATTACAATAAAAAACATAACACCATGAATCCCCCTCAAGATATTCCCCCCTGCTTGGAATGCACTCATTTCATCATTCTCACTACTTTGTAAGGAGTTCTGGAAGTCCCCTTTCATGAGTGTCTCTAGTTGTGCCATTGTAGCTGCCTCTCTGTCCTGAATAGATTCAAAATGTTTACCTTTCAAGGTCATTTTGATTTTGTGGAAGAGGCAGAAGTCAAGTGGTGCCAGATATGGTGAATAACGTGGATGAGGACATATCATGATTTCTTTTTCCCATTAAGTTTATTGGTACATTTTCGGTATAAAATACAGTTACATTCATCATTGAGATCTTGTACCATTAAATGAATATCTTGATTCCTATTTTTTTCCCCTTCTCCTGCCCTCCCTTCACCCCCTCCACCCTTCCCTATTTGCAAAGATTTTGTTTCCATTTTTTTCCTTTTCTCATATTTTTTCTTTTCCCTTTTTTCC